AAGCAGTCTCAAGGTCAACAAAAATTAATTGGTGAGTATAATACCATGCTACAGAGGGTACTTTTTATTGTTCTAATGTTATTGTTAACATGGGAATATGAAGTTAGACTCTTTCTAAAACCTCTCAAGCTGCCATGGCAATTTACCACAATCACTAACAAAATATTTAGTCAACATATCTCGAAAACGATTGGTGGTTTTATTTACAACAAAACTACTAACGGTAGGCCTCTCTTCTAAACCACAAACAGTCAAGGAATCATCCAAATTGAACCCATCTCGATCACGTACAAAGTTATGTAAAATACAACAGCATTTGACAATGTCAACTGCAAAATCAACGCTTACATCCAGTGGCCTGTGAAGTGTTCTCCATTTATTTGATAGAATGCCAAAGGAACACTCCACATAGCGTCTAGCTCGCGATAATCTGTAGATGAAGACACGTTTCCCTACTAGCAAATGTGTACAGGGATAGGGTCATAATAGATGCATAGACAATGCAAATGCTTCGTCCCCTACAAAAGCAAATGATACTGCTTCATTACTTCCAGGCAGCTGTTTAGGTGGAGGAATTCTTAGAAGGCCGAGCTCCACTTGTTTCCAAAGTGAAGAATTCTTGAATATAGTGGAATCTGAGTCTTTGCCGAAAGAACCCACGTCAGCATAAATGAACCTGTAACTTGCATCGGCTATTGCCATTCACCCAATGGAAAAATAATGTTTGTAATTCATGTACAACGACCCACTTCGTTCAGGTCTAACTATACGGATATGCTTGCCGTCAACTGCCCCAAGACAGTTGCGGAAAGATGTTGTATTTTGAAAACCTTGCGCAATTCTATTAGGAAAGCATTCTTCTTTCAGTACACGCCAGATAATTTGACAAACTCTTCGTACGACTTGACTGGCTGTTGATCTACCGACTCAATAGCTGTAATGTAGGAATCGGAAACTGCTTNTACAGCGAGCAATTAACCTTTTTAAAGAAATCTTTGGAACCAAGACCTACATGTAGTACCATGGACACTCAACCGGACTCACCCGAATGTGTTGGAGATAATCGCGAAACTGAAGAAGACTGCCATACTCCTACCGCCAATGAAACAATGGTTCCTCCTCAACAGCTTCCATCTTCGCGTAAAAGAAAGTTAACGGATGTTGAACGTAGTTTCATTACGTTTATGGAAAGTCACAGCACGAAAAAGGCAACGCCACGAGAAGATGAAGATTTAGCTTTTTTCTACTCTATTTTGCCCACTGTTAAAACACTGACGCCGAATGAGAAATTTACATTCAGGATGGAAAGTATGAAACTTCTACAAAACCTAAAACAAGCCAGATCATTTCCTCCGACCCTTCCTCCCTACCAAGGCTATACATCGCGACCACCATCGAATACATCGGCTGCTTCATTATTTTTAAACTTTTCACCGGACACGGAGGCTTCAAGTGATTAAAGGTTCGGCCACACAGAGCGCTACGTACGCTATGTTCGCTATACGAACAGAAAAATATCTCCCTTTATTGCCAATGTGACTGGGCACAGACTTCCGTACGCTACGTTCCCTATGTTAGCTGCGTCGCAGAGTGTACACGGCGTACGTAGCGAACATAGCGTAGCGCTGTGTGGCAGAACCTTTACTGTCTAATGTTGCTTTCCACTCCAGCCCCCCTGGCATATGTCAATAAGCACAAAGGCCTTGTCATTATGGAAGGTTGTCACATTGTTAGTACCACTAATACATCTATGAAGAGTAAGAGTCAAATGCATTGACTCAGTTGTAACTCACTAGCATTCGCCTTATCAATGTAAATACCAACGATTTTTTTCCATTGGTTTTGTATTCGAACATTAAATACCTCTATTATCAATCTACATATTGAGTGTAATTATTTACTTACCTGATAGTCATAGCATAATTTCTTCAGGTTTTATAGCTGCCCTCATGTTAAATGATCTTGAACGCAAGACAGAAGTTCATCAACCGTGCTCACTTTCATTGTAAATTAATTAAAAAACTCTGAAGGATCCTCTCGTAGGGGTGTGTACAATGTGTAGAAGTGACCATCGCGATGTCTCACAGAGTTTATGGGATGAACCCACCATTTTCTTATCTTCCTCGCTTTTAAATATAAATAAACAAGAGAGCCGAATGCTACGCTTGCTTCTGGCTCCATTGCAGACAAAAAACTACGCACCGCATTCTGCAAGTGTGTGGTGTCCTCAGGAACGTCCGTGATAAAGTACGTGCGTTGTAACGGACGTATTTCTTGCGCTCCTGTGGCCCCAGCCGGCGAATGGATGTGGCGTACACAATTTTTGTATATGCATTTATTTTTTCAAACTAAAAAGATGTGTCTATCGTTTTATCGGTCTCTGACCGACGAAGAAGGTTGCTGTAGTTGGGAAAGTATAAGATTTTCATTTAAAGAGGGTTTGTCATTTCTGTAAGTGCGTTAAAACTGAATCGCCCAAAACTTCACTTTACGATCCAAAGTTTTATCATTCAGTTTCATGCCTCAAAACCCAAATGTCAAATACGAGATGATGAACAAATTACAAATTAGATATAAATATTATGTCAGCAGGCATCCAGAATATAGACATTCGCTTTGTGCTATTGGCTGTTGGTTTATTTTTTGTTCCATTCATGTTTGAACTTTGAAAACAGGCCGTTTTAAAGGGCCATGTTCTTTGTCGTTCTTCCCTCTACCTCATGTTTCTCTGCTCATTTCTATCTTAATTCGGTTGTATTAATGCATTTTACTTTGCTGCTTCATTTCCCACCTTAATTTTCCCATTGACACTTTACCTCTCCTACCATTACACCCCCCTTGGGAATGCGATCTTTAATTATGGCGTTTTTAAATCAGTTTCAGTTAACGTTCTTGCTGAATTTACCACAGCACACCCCATTGTTTGCCTTTGGCTACTTCAGATGTGGTATTAGGACACAGTGTCCATTAATTAACTTACCCTCTTCTATGAGGCTATCACACTACACAACATCACATTAATCTTCATATTTCCTACTTTTTTCTTTTCCTTGCCACTACAGCCCCAGTGGGCCTAGGCCTACCTCCATGAACTTCTCCGTTCACTTCGGTTTTTCTAGATCTTACACATATGGTAGGACTCCTTGGGCGAGTGATCAGCTCGTCGCAAGGCCTCTACCTGTAGACAAACACAGAAAAACGCACACAAACATCCATGCCCTGAGTGGAATTCGAACCCATGATCCCGGCTTATGAGCGAGCGAAGACAGTGCATGCCTTAGACCGCTCGGCTACCGTGACCGGCATATTTCCTACTTACTGAACCTAAATTATTGATGTTATTTAAGGGTTGCTCCAGTATGGATGTCTTAGTGCTAAACCACAAATGCTTAATTCCAAGTGGAATACAGTACATGGGCAGCTTCAGATACTAGATCAGTAACCTGTAATTTATATAGGTCACATAACATTGTTAGGAGTGAAATAATGTAGGTTACAATATGCTGGACTTGTATATGAGATGAGGAAAAAAATGCATTACAAATTAGAGCAAGGAAACTTATTATATTGGAGGAAAACATTAAGAGCTGGTATGGAAATAGACCGTGAGGCTTTGGGGGGTGGGGGGTAGTGGAGGAAGGATCTTGCTCAGGATCATATTCAATGGCAGGCACTACTATTAGCAATGTTAAACATTGGTGTTCTCTTGGCACAGTTACACATTTCAGAGCTCAAAAGCCACAATGTATAAGGATATTCTAAGCTGACATTTGGACAGTTGAACACACCTGTTGGAAATTTCAAGTGCAGTGATAGACAAAGATGGAAAAGAAGTGGAATCATAATTGGCAAGACCAAACATAAGTTAAAAAAAAAACTGGATCTACTGAAACAGTTTACTGTAAATGTCAATACAACTTGCAATATTTGTTACACTCTTTCATTTTAACAAAAGTTTCAATTAACTGAACAAGTATTTGAGCTATGCTGAAATTTATTACAGGATTCATCATGTTGAAAGTAATCAAGTTCTTCAAGTTAACACTTAAATAAAGCTGCAGACTCTAGGCCTCATGGTAGTCCTTAACATGGAAGTGTATGCATATGGACACAAACCACTTTACCTCTATATATGAAAATACACATATCATTTGCAACCCTGAATGTTTATTATATTAAATAATGTATATAATACAGGATGGGGTGCAGAAATTTCCTTTTTGTGAAGACGCATTGTGAAGGCAAGGGAGTTCGCAGAAAAGTGGAGATAGGCTCAGTGAACGCAGCAGTTGTGGAAGTTTCTGTCTAATACCCCTCAGTAGGAAACATGAGGTGGACGAGTGAGCAGCGTGCGTTTGCTGTCGAAGTCTATTTTTTGAACAACCATTCCTACGTGGCGGTGCAGCGTGCGTTCCGTACTCACTTTGGAATTAAGCCCAGAGGTCCGGTTCCCGACCGGAAATCATTTTGTGGGTAGAGAACTTTAGGACAAGCGGGGGGTGTGGTGAAAAAATCATCAGGACAACAACAGACTGTTAAGACGCCAGAAAATGTGGAGGCAGTTTGACAGTTGATTTTGAGATCTTTTTCGAACCAGCTCTTGAAGAAATGCATCTAGGAAATGTCTGGTTCCAACAGGATGGTGCCATGGCCCACACAGCTCGAGCTTCGATGACAGTTTTGAGGGCAAAGTTCCCCAGACTGCTCATCTTGCTTCGAGGTGACATCCCGTGGGCAGCATACTCACCTGATCTAACGCCCTGTGATTTTTTTTATTGGGATACTTCAAGGCAGAGGTTTTTAAACATCGCCCCACAAACCTGCTTCAGCTGAAGAATGTTATTCGGCAGGAAGTAGCCCAAACTCTGGTGCACATGTTGGAGTGTGCAGAGGGGAACTTCAGAAAATGGTTGCATCAGTGCATAGAGAACGGTGGCCACCACCTTCAAGATATTTTGTTTAAAACTACATGATTTAAAACTTTAAAGTATGTTCTTTCATTAGCTAAACATAAATTCTGTCTATCAGCAATAATTTTTCTTTTATTCGCCTTCAAAAAAAGGAAGTTTCTGCGCCCTACCCTGTATTTACACAAGGGTTTTGAGTTCTAAGCCATGGCATATTCTGACTGATTTATTTGCCCTGCAAACTTCTGTTAGAACTACAAGAAGAAACTGTTAATAAAGAGGGATTATTATATACATGTATCCATTTCAATACACTTGAAGGTATACATATACAATATGGGAAGGACTGTTTGTCGCAGAAATCGGAATAGCGAAGATCACTGGCCAGATGAACCAGGCTGAACACCATCACCATTATTAACAAAAGCATCAACATTTGAGTCTGTAAAATCAAGAATCCTTCTCTGACACTGACGAACATACTGCTGCTGTTTGTGATAGATTTTCAAAGCCCCTTTGATGGTGATGAATGCAACTCCACCCTAATAAACACAAGAATTACACATAATTATTTCACTAAAACACAATTCCATGAGATTCTCCATCTGAGAGTATGAAAGAAGCCCATTAGACAACATGCATAAGGTGAAGGACCTTACAATGGCAAATGAGTACAAAGTTGGAGTCTTGCAGTCTATGCTTCTGAATAGGGTGAAGACAGGAGTCCACTTTCAGATGGAAGCACACATGGGGTAGGGTAATAGCCAACAGAAATGGCCTGCAACTTAATGTTTGGGGGATGACATACATTCACAAAGTTTTGACTTTTTTCAGAGGTCAAGGAAGTGGAAAATATGTGGCAAAAACCACACTGTATCCAGCCACTCTTGAACCAAAGACCTTCCACAGGGAAGGTCTGCACCTTACTCCTCCATCACCAGGTCTCTGTTTGAGTACAGTGTGACTATAAACGTGAAGTATGATGTCTCTGAGAACAGTCTGACAATATGAATATATAAGCATTGGTAGTAAACTCACATGGTACTATGAATTCATTTATTCATACATGGTACTAACCAATAACTGTACAATACAGATAGTATCTGTTGAATGGGATAATTTTTCTTATATTCAGTTTCTACTTTCATCTACTGATTCACAGGTTATTTAATGCTGCTATCTAAACTGCAGAGGTTACAAACACGACAGAAGAATACAAAGTAATTAGATAAAGATTTGGAAAGCAGTGATTTACATGCATAATGTATCAGGAGAAATTGGAAAATAATCACAAACATCACACAAGATGGCCAGTAACTTGACTGACATTCGAACCACTTCTTTATTATACATTTACAGCACTGTCACAACATGAACATGAATGACATCTTTCCTCCTAAATATTTATAATTAAGATATACAGATGACTGAATATGTGAAATAAATATTGGAGTATATAAATAAGTGTGGACTTACAAGTACTGTTCTCTGGAGATTGGAAGGTACAGAATCAAAGAATAACTTGCCACACAAAGTTGCCACTGTAGGTAACAGAAGCGCACTGCATAAAATTCGGGTAGCTGAAACAGGATCTGACAGAGGTGGCAAATCCATACTGGTTCTTCGCTCCTCTCTGCAATTATATAACATCTACAGTACATACGGTGTATCCTGATACATCAAAGGCCAAGGCTTCCTCTTAGGTAGGCCGCACACCGGCATGCGTTAAGACATGTAACAGTCAAGACACGGCGTCTGCAACATGACGCAAAGATAGGAGCACAGTTGAAACGAATGAGATTGTGAAAACCGCTGCACACCGGTCTTAGTCATGATGCTGATGAATTGCAAGTGAAGCAAGACTGCGTCTTTTGTCTCATGTCTTGATGCTTGTCTTGACGCAGCTGGTGTGCAGCCGCCCTTGTCACTGTGTATGTTACCAAGCAGTTAACAATAGGAGAAGAAAATGACAAAAGCAAAAGATGTGTTTGAGTTGGCATGACCGTGTCCACCTTTGGCAAAAACATTTCCTCTCAATAATAGCACCAATGGCATATACTCTGATTCCACCAAGTTTAATCTCTTAGTATAAACATAGCTGTCTTTCCAGACCTTATGTTATTTAGGATTGATATATATCAATACATATTTGGCAAAGTTTGCCTTTAACAATTCACTGTTGAAATATCAACACGATTTTACATCACGGAGAAAATAAAACCACCACAATTCTGAAAAGTTCTCTTTTGGGATATAATGACATATAGTCCAGTGAAAGTCAACTGACATTTCAGATGAAACAGTGCCTTCATTTGTTTTCTGCATACTTCATGCTGGTTTCTTACTTGCATCTTGGTGATGGAGATTATATGTTCCTCTGAAACATTTACTGGCTCTCACTCAACTGTAAAGTGTTATATCCCAGAAGACAGAATGCTTCACAGCTTCTGCCATGAGAACCTCAAATCCAACATCTCAATTCTGATTATATGTACAAGTGAGAGCCTCACACAAAAGAATCTGTGGTTAGATGCTACTACAGTCTCATACAGATCTACAGAAATGAGCCCTTATGTCGGTGATGAAGATAAGAGATGCACATCAAGAATGGATAAATTATGACTTGCAGGAAAACTGACAAATTTGGGTGACAAAGAGAAAAACCTGCCCCAACATTATTACATATATATCAAATTCCTGAGATTGAATCTGAGTATCCCTGTTGGCAGAGACTGGCATCACCTGAACTGTGACAGCCTGACCAAAGAGTACTCCTATAAATACATGTAATCCACTTACCCACATGATGGGAATAGATATTTGAGGAATGGCACTTTCTTCGAGTTGCGTCTTAAAAATGCAAGAACACTATCTTCCCAGCGAACCATTTTACCAAGAATTAACATAATGGGGATTGTGGGTAATCCAACCAGAAGAACTAATGGGTCTGCTTGTTCCATCACTGACAAACCTTCCTTGTGGCCAACAACCTGCATTCAAAACATTGAACAAAAGCTGTTTCAATTACTGTACTTGGTACTTTTAATATGATATATGTGAAACATGTTTGTTTCTGTCTAAAAGTTCTATTGCAGTGTACCTCTCCATTACAGATGTCTGGGTTATGGAATTATACTCTTGCAATACATTGATATGTACAATAAAAGTGTTAGCAGTTTCTGTGCTTATTTAAGCACATGCTAAAGACATGTTGGGTGGAGGTATACCTCCGCACATTCTTAATCTTGGCACTACAAGATGAAGTTTCAAGCATGAATGCAAATATTATATTTGAGTATGCTGTTATACTGCAATAAATTGTGCATGATTCATCACACATACAAGGCAAAGCTGAGATTGCTACTGAATTTCAATATGCACCTGCATCACAGTAACAGCACCATAAGTGACAGCAGTCCAGTATATGGATCCGACAACAATACCAGCAGCAACAAATGGACACACCTTATATATTACATTGTCCACAGCATCCAACATGACAATCACCGGCCCTAAATCAAACACAAATGCTTATGTGTTAGATGACACAAACACAGCTGACACTTTCAATAATCACTGATCATTCAGTACTAGCACTCCACAGCTGCACATCAAATGCCACTCAAGTTTTATCTCCTTTTCAATTTTTATATCAACTGATTGCTTTTCCAATTGAAATACTTCTGGAATTAAACATTTATATTTTCTGATACCCCTGGCGTAGTTTTTGCATCAAACATCAGGGTGTAACTGAACACTTGCAAATTCATGTACGTAAAACTATGGGAAACAATTACACTTAATGAATAGAATGGGAATAAAAAGTGTGTTCACAGTCTGGAGTGACTGCATATTCTAATCAAGTCTTCACAGGCAGTCAGCCATGTCAATGTGAGACAGATGGGAAATCCATTTCCATCTTAAATGAGCCAATTGTGAGAGATCACTTTACTGAATTTACTTGTGTGCATGCGCGCATGCACGCACGCACACACACACACACACAAGGATATATTTACTTTATTTTTGGCAAGAAACATTTGTTTTGCAGTAACAAAGTTANACCAATTGTGAGAGATCACTTTACTGAATTTACTTGTGTGCACGCGCGCGCACGCACACACAAGAATATATGTACTTTATTTTTGGCAAGAAACATTTGTTTTGCAGTAACAAAGTTAATAAAACTTTTTTTTCCCCATAATAATTGGACATGCTTTTGATTTTCACCAAATTCAGTGGCTGGTTAAGTAAGGTTAGTTTAACTTACCATATAATTTAATTTTGCTTTGCATTATGGCTTGTGGCCCTGAGTTAAGTTTGTTAATACTAAATGTCACACATGTATGCACAAAAGAAAACTGTCACCATGTTGCAATATTCTCTCTCTAGAAGGAAACAGTTAAACTTTGGATGCATTATAAAGTCTGCAAAGTTTAATGATTTCTTAAACCTATACTTGTGAGTACAGTGCGTGCAATGGCTGTGTTCCTAACTAAGACTTACCCATATGAGGGAACACAATGATATACTGCGTGTTACACTGTGGGCATGACACTTTCCCTGATGGGTTTCCTTTCTGTTTTTCATCCACCCAACGCTGAATGCAAGCTTGATGTACCTAAAAAGATCAGGCAAAATGACAGCTTTCTTGCCTCCCTGCTAAACTCATCCTGTAAGCATAATGCTGTGTAAGAATATTCAAACAATACTTTTAGATTTTGGTTTACATAACTGTAGTAGCAGCACATTACACAATGGTGATATCTGACCGACTGGCAAAGGGATCAGAAATCTTCATTATATCTCTCCAGTCCTATTAAATTATACTTGAACCAAGAATCAAACGATCATTACAGGAATACATAAGATGTTAAGACAGTTTTTATTTACTGACATACCCACTTTGTGGTTCCTCGACAATTACAGGGCTGCACCCAAGGAACTGTTGTATCATCTTCATCAGTGGCAAAACAAACCCAACAATATCGTTTATCTTCTTCTTCAACGTGATTGCTGCCACCGTTTGTTGTTTCGGTCGTGTTTTCTATATCTTCATCTGCCATTTCAAATATGCATTATTAAGGCAAATCAGAAACAAATCCGAAAGAGCTCTATCTGAGGGTGAAAAAAAAGAAACGACATAACCCCATAATTTCCTAGTCTGAAAGAATAATAATACAAGTAAATAACTTTGCAAATAATTTTAATTACACTTTAACACACAACAAAGCATAAATATATTCAATTAATAAACGCTGCGTAATTAAAGTGACAAACACAACAACATCCAATATGGTTTAACTGTTTCCCCGAGGTAATTTCGTGTCGAAAAAGCTATCGGATGTCAAGTTCTTTTCTCATCGGTCACGACGAAAAGTGTACGTACTTCACCGTGCTTAAGCTTTGTGAAGAACAAAATCGCAAACATTATTACCTTTAGACACAAGAGCAGTTCCACTATTTCATTTTTCACGAATCTGTAACGGTATGGCAATGACGATTACGAAGACAACACGCGTACGATAACCTCAACAATTCATGCCCATTAAATGGCCATGGACGAGCGGTGAGAGATCGATTCGGAACGTGCGAATTGTCGCTGGCAGCGACATGCACTTGATGTGGCACGAACCTGAGGTCTGGATCATCTGGATTTGTTCTAACTGCTTATTTTAACCACATTTAAAAATAATTTTCGCTATCCAGTGGATAAAGCTACTGGCCGCGTAAAGCTCATCGCGAGAATCTATTTTGTGTTTGAGGTTATGAAGACCTGAAGCGATTCCATCCCTCTCAAGGACTTGAACCTGGCGCTGTGCTTAGACAGCAAATTGTTGAAGATACCAGAATTTCGGATCAAAAAAAGTAATTCTTTCAAAATAAAGGAATTTAAGGCGTCGAATATTAAAATAATTCGCATACTTTAAAATATTCCGAGGTGTATTTTATCTAACAATTATTAAAGAAAATTTGGAGTTTTCGCATCTGAAAAATAAATTATCCCGTCTGGTTAAATTTATGAACTTCGGAAAATCTAACATTTCTGGAGTTAAAAACCTTTGTAGGTATTCCGAATGTGCGAAAATGTCTTAAAATCTGGAAATACATTTTGTATCAATGGTAAGCAAAGCATTCGAAATTATAGGGGGCAATTCCATGCTCTGATGGATGTGAAGTAGTGCGATGTGTCGGTGTAATGTAATATAACCCAGCCACACATAAACTAATGTTACCTGACAAAACTTCCGGCAGGAGTAAGTGGATGCACGCCCCAGAGCTAACCTAACATTGTTCATTCCCACCAATTGCTGGTCCAGTAAGCATGGTGATCTGCAGTTGTGTAATGTGCAAACCTAACCTAATCACACCAATTAACGGTGTTGTGCACAATGATGTCAAACATTAAGTCCTTAAAAAAAACTGTTATGGGTGTAAGGTTGTGAAGCAAATATTGCTCTTTTTTTAATGCTATTTATGATATACTGAGTGTTTGGTATGCTTTGTAAATGATACAGCTTACATTTTCTGAATTCTTTACACTTAGTCAAATTCTGTGGAAAGTTTTCATGGCATGAAGGTTGGAATAGGATTATTTTGAAATGACCAGCTGTGACAATGGGGGCAGTGATTATAAACTGTTACATTTTAAATGTTTCATCTTGGAACGTCACACTAACAATGTTACAAAAGCTTAATTAATTCCATCCAGTGTGACTGATGAATTTTTTTTCCTCCTTAACATGTTTCGGTCTTATACTGATATCCTTTTGAAGATGGTCTATAAGACCGAAACATGTTAAGGTTAAAATATCAAAGAGAGAGAAAAACACTTCCGCAGTCACACTGGATGGAATTAATTAACCTTTTCTAATAAACTGTTACTTATATAGGTATAAGATTATATAAGTTGGCAGTAAAACATGGACATTTAAAACCTTCATATTTTTTAATGTGAACACTTAAAGAATTAAATGTATTTATCAATATCTACAAACAATTACACATATATCAGAGTTTTTTCCTCTTCAACTTCCTAAGTTCTCCCTGTTGCATTGCTGCTGAGCCAAATATCTCTTTCACTTTTTGTTTACGTTCCATATCACTGAAACTAAGAAATATGAAGAGCTAATGGTCATGTCCTACAATTTGTAAACATGGGACACATTTACAGAAAATAAACTCTAGAAAAAATATAGCCTTCAGGCTTAATATGGTTATGGGTATGTCAGTGTATTATAAAAATATGTATCTCTTAGAGACTATTACTGCTATAACCACAATAAATAAACATGGACTAAATCACATGTTAGATTGCAATAATTTCAATATTTATATATTAAAAATAATACTGATTTATAATTATTAATAATGTTATATCCATAAAATATGTTGAGTCATTGTGACTGATGCCTATTTAACAATTTATAAAGTATGTAACTTTTCTCACAAGAGCTCCACAGCTCCTGTCATTGTGAACATATAAATATGGCCCACATAAAAATAAATATTAAGAATCCAGTCTTCTGGGATGTGATGCCATATAGTTTGGGGGAACCTGCTACTTCCGTCTTCAAGGCAGAAGAGGTTTTTCTACTTAACTACCACAGTAAATAAAATCACATCCCAAAAGGAAAATTATCTTTTACCCTGAAGATGGAGGCAGGAGTGTTTCAAAATGTAGGCATCTACCAGATTACACAGCATCAGATGCCAGAAGCTTCTAATAATCACTGATGTGATAACCTCAAACATCAATAATGACTATTATTTTACTCACTTTTGCAAGGTGTGTTTAAGCTTGAGCTTTGCAAGGAAAGACCTGTCTCGGCGAATCTCACGAATTGCCCCCTTCATTTCACGCTTATATTTGTGAAGCAACTTTTCACGTTCCTGTCTCACCTTTCCCATGGGTTGCCTTTTCCTCCCATCAAATCTACAGAACAAAGAAAGATGTATACAGTGATCAAAAGACAAATATCTCACTTGAAGGAGGATTAAGTGATGTCTGTGAAAACTGAGTTAATAGGCACGAAACTAACAGCAAATAGCAGCAGCAGAATCTGCAGATTCAAGAGTGCTAATATCCTGAAAAATCCTCATCTTACATAAAACTAAACCATCCATTTCAACATTATCATCCCACCTCCTCCTCAATTTTCCAAGTAACTGCTTTCCATAGTTTTCATACAAATTTCTGCATGTATTTCCTCTTTCATTTATACAATTTACACATTCACCCCAGTGAACCTCCTTGATCTGGTTACAGTAATAATTCTACATGACCTGTATGTATCAAGTCCACTGTTGTACACTTTCCTTCATTTGTGATTCACTTAATCTCTCTTACTTCAGTATATTTCTTCTCTAGACTATAATTAACCCCTTAAAGACTGGATTTATTCTGAATATTATATAAAAATTCAGCTCGTACCTCACAAGGGACACATCATTCCTCAACTACAAAGCACAACTGGTCAAGGCTGTTTAAGGATCAAACACCGTTCATTGCAAAAACCTTACAAAACATACAAAAACACCCTGTGGGCAGAATACAAAGTTTTAGTATTTTAAAGCATGTGATTCATATAATAACTACTGGACTTTAAAGCGTTAATGTACTTCCCTTACAATAAGAAACCATATCTCAGAAGTATAAAAATCTAGTATGTCAATTTTCAGGATATAGTGTGGTATGGAAACGGTTTTTATGTAAGAAATAAGTATTTTCTAAGATGAACCAAGGATTTAAAAACAGTCATACAACAAAGATCACATTTTATGGCCTATCTGAAAGATATTTAATCTCTTATCTTAAAAGTAATTGTTTGTCTGCTTTGCCAGTCCAATGCAGCTGCCCATTAGCCTTTATTTTTATGGTTCAGTCCATGATGTCATTCCTCTTCGAAGAGTGCGGCTCCTGGTCAGTCCTTGTGGAGAACTTACAGTCAGGTCAAGCAGTCTTCTGCATGGTTGAGTGGCTATCCACCTACCAGACTACAAAGTGTCACAACCCAGAAGACCCTACAGGATTCTCACTGGTATGAGAACCTGGAAATCTTTTGAATTGTTTAGTGGTTAAGGGAAGTGAGAAAGCAAGAAGCACTGTGACTGGGTCAACTATGGAGAGAATGTGATAAAAGTACAAGAAGGAAGCAAGACAAGGACAGAAAGGTGACAGGGGAGAATGAAGAATCATGTGAGGATGGAGAGAAGAAAGGAGGTGGAAAAGGAGTAAGTGTGATTCTCCTGATTCACATAATAAAAACAGTTTACAATAAGTAACTTCAGAGCCCCCCCCATAGCTTCAGTACTTACACTTGTTCGATTCTTGGTTCATACAATCGCAGGGCTTTGGGTTTCTTCTTTTCCATGACCAAGAATTGCAGTTTCTTTTGCCTCATTTCCTCTATTTTTGACATGGCACTTTTCATGTCTTTTTGGAGGTAAAGTGGATATTTTCCCATATCAAGCTGCTTCAGTGTACTGAGAAGAGGCTTCAGAATTTCATAACTTGCAGCCATGTTTTCTAAATGGCAACAGAACTCTATTAAGAGTTTCACGGCTGTGTGTAAGGCACGTAATTTAAATCTATCGTCTGTGGGAACTGTCTTTCGTAGATCATCTATATTCATCAGCTGAGCTGCATTATCACTGAAACAGCATGGTTTAAATGAAAGCTATTTTTTTCCAAAGGTTCCACGGTTTGTAACACTACTAATTATAACTCTTTCAGAATCATGCACATACATTTATCTTCATCTAACAAAGTATATAGGAACATTAATGTTTTCTTAATTCTATTCAGATTTTAAACATGTAAAGTTAAATGTAAAGTTCCACTAATAAGTAAGGTCCATGCAAGGGGCTCAAAGAATATTTGCAGGTATACACATTTGATATAAGCTGTATGTTACAGCTAGACCTCTGATCTTGTTGGCTTTCATTCACAATTTAGTCATTAAGGAGTGCACCAGTTTTAGTATCCAACTTGAATGACTGATCCAACAAATATGGAGCAAGGCAACCTACTCCTACACCCCCATCAAGCAGTACCTTACCCTTACAATTTGCACAAAAGAGATCTACCTGAAAGAGACAAGTTATAACTAGGCAACTTCACTTTCTAGCCACCTTAACCTTGGAGAAAGAATATCCAATATATACAAGATAGGGGGCTGATGATCCAAGAGCCATTTTGGACTCTGTGGTGGATAGAAAAATTCTAATACCCTTTTGGGATTTGAACCCCCAAATGTTCAGCCTGTAGTTAGTCATTTCAGAGTGTATACTTGTAAACACATTTGGTTAAAAAATTAGTATTATTTTTAATGACTTGGTTTAACTAATTTGTGAATGTTCACTGTTTGGATTATTCTGTTGTGTAAGAAAAAAAAATAAAACACAGCTGGCTATAGAAACACAAAGGAGCAATGGGAATCTGAAATATGATTATTATTTTGGACACTGTCCACCATCTTCAGTGTTTTCAAACACTAAATCCATTTCAATCCACAAGGAGAGAGGAAGGGAAGGTTCATCCTTAGCTGGAACCATAAAAAAGATCTTATTTCCATTACCGGACTGTGGACCAGTGGTTCAATGCTATTTCTAATGGGCTCAACTGAGTACAAAACTTTCTTCCCTTGTGCCTGATGTGAGAAACAGATAATTTTAAAAATATTCTGTCTGAAAAAAATTTAAGACTATGAAAAATGTCCATAATAGTCATGTTTACTGGACCACATCATTAGAAACAATGAGAGTATTACTACTTAAACACTTGTGAAATTTTATTCATTTTATGACATGGTAGACAATGTGTGTTGTGGAATACATTTAATTATGTTTATTGAAAATTTAACTAAACCACAAAGGCTAAATCAATAAAGTGATAGATTACAGGTTCGATTCCTCAGACAAAGAGAGACTTGTCTGTTTGCCACCACATTCAGACCCACTCTGGGATACTCCCAGACTTCTATCCAATGTGTATTGTGGGACTTCTTCCTCTAGGATAAAGCAGCCAAAGTGTCCAGCTGGTCACTCACTTTCATCTAGTGCAGAGGTCTAGAATGCATGAAGTTCTACCTCGGATCTTCCCTGTATACTTCCATGATATGATGCTCATGCATAGGGGCAACTTTACAATTTACTTAAACAGTAAAAATGTGAAAAATTCAGTACCTAACTGTGGAAGGTTCAGAGAGAACAAGCAGATTTCTTGCCCTGCCCGTTATGTGCACTGGATACACAACAGAGACCAGCCTGGCACATGTTTTGGGCACTCCCATGTAAAGCACACCATGAAGGAAATTAATGGCTGCAGGAGAAAACCTTTTGGAAAGAACTGTGTACTGAAATCATAATAAATATTCAGTAATACAATGTTTGAAAGGAAACTAAAACCCACCACATTTAAGCCAAACCTGGTATAGCTTCACTGTAAGAGAATACTGGTACTTTTCACATATTTAAAAATGTTAGAGATGAAAATATTACAGTTGTTTGGACATGTTACACAACTGGATACAAGTATAATTACTGTCAAAATCTCGTACCTGGCCACTCTCAAGAAAATGTGTAGTGGATGTGGCCAATTCCATTAACTGAGACAAGGACTGTAGGACACACATGGCTTACAACAGGCCATAGTTACAGCGTGTCACCTTCCCACCCACCCACAATACAACGGCAACGACTGTCCTCATATTTATTTCCATATTTCTCCTCATGGACAACCCACAGGTCAGGTGTAAAAGCACTGTGTTCCCAGAAGAGCTCTAGAAATACAAGTAAAGGATGAATAGACAAATGACAACCTATGTCAAGTTAGCTTATTGACAGAATGACAAAAGCAGGAAGTGTACAGGTCGACACAAAATGAAAAAAATGTTGGAACAGATATCTGAAATATTTTCATCCACTGGCCTACATGTGAAATGACAAGCTGTATGACACTGATTTTCAGGAAAATGCCACATACAATGCTGAAGGTTTTCCAACATTTCAGCTGCCATAAGGTTAATGTTTCTGGGGGATTTTAGAAGCTCATATATATATTTTGCAATGGGCAGTGATTAGGAAGTGAATCTGTGATTGTTTGGAACAGAGGAATGTGACGCAATCCAAAGGGAAGCAATAATGTCATCAGTGAAAAGGCGATCCTGAAAGGAGGCAATGAATATGTTTGAGCAACCAGGTGGTTGATGGAAATAGGCGATGAAAAAAAGTTTTGGTAACCAGGTTAGAATGGCAGAAGAGGTGGAAACAGAAACATCTGGCATATCCAAATGAGAGGTGGCACTAAAAGTTTAAGTACAGACTGAGACAGAAGAAGAAAAAATGTTGTGTAGAAATCATATTTAGTGGCTTTTCATCTGCTTACTGAAAATTATGCCAGAATAAAGAGGACACCCAGACTTGAATGGCTTACCCAAGTAAATAACAGCATTGCAAATAGAGAAATAGTATAGACTGAGGCACAAAATGGGAAAATGTGAGAAGGCTAACATATCTGAAGGTTTCTTATCCACTAACAAACCGCTTTTAGAGTTTCAAGAAAACAGTCTTCTCATTAGGTCAATGTCAGGACACTACCTTAAAAAATTCAGGACGATCTCCTTACAATTTCAAATTCATGATAATCTTGTCATCTTATTTGATGGTATACAACCTCTGCCACTGAAACAGTATCACTAAATAATGTACCTGTTGACACATGCTGTGTACTTACTTCCAGTATGAGTGTCACAAGAAACAAGCCCCTTGCTACATCCCTAGCTGTCTTGACTTTACACTGACACAACATCTGACACATGAAGACACAGGCAGGCGTTACCACAGGATGTCGGAAATCTGACGTAGGAAACAGGTGAGAGATCAACTTCAGGAACACCAGCTGAAACAATTGGGATGAAGAATGAACTTTCAGATAAGGATGAGAAGTAATACAAACGACAAACACATAAGAGTCAAATTACATAATTCAGTTACAAACTCTTATTAAATTTCCTTGGTTTAATGTTTTAATCTATTCAGTCTTCAAGTTCCTCACAGAACCAACAAACAGGTTTTCCAGTACACATAGTTCTGACGTCAATGTCAGTAAATGTAAAGTTACTTTTCAGGATATGTCCAGAAGATAAAGGTGCAGGGTCAATTTATGGAGATCACTATATTTTAATCCCCTACTGTTAAGGACAGAAAAAGAAATGACATATGGCAAAAGATGTAACATGTCATGGATGGAACTATTTAATTAAATCTATGGCACCGTAACTGTTCTTCTGTTCTGAAAATTTGTAAGTATACATTGGCTTCTTCATGATCTAGTTCTCTAAAACTTACTGTATCAAGTCCAGGGAAAGAACTGCAATGGCTTCTGAAGTCCTGCTGCTTCTCCTTAAGAACCTCCACCATACAATGACCCACACTGAGGGGTGTAACATGTGTCAAGTCATACAGATGTGGCACTATGCAGTCCAGCACAAGGAAACAATTGCAGTCCTCTTCATTCTGCAAACAAAATATTTTTACATTAACAGTGGCTGCCAAATTCCAAGGAGATCTATTCCCTGAGCCAAGAGCTGCACTTAAGTGGCTGGCATTCCTGCTTTGTATTCAGTTAAGTTTCATGTTTTAATCCCAGCCCCAGGGCTTGTACTTCCCCCTGGTCCTGCCAAATGCCAGAATGATATTTTAAAAATGGCCACAACTATTTATTTGTACATCCTAATTCATTATTTTCACCCAACCTACATCTAACACTACACATGAAGTTGAAGGACCACTCTTAAGTAACTCAGTAATCAATCAATCAAAACCTTCAACAATAAAGTGACCAGTCACAATATACCTCTGTAGATACTGCTGTATCCTGAAGATGTTGCAACAGAAAGCCAAAAAGATTAGCAAGTTTGACCTTGAAGCCTTCACCTAGACTCGGATGATTACATTTTATCATACGCTCCAGAATCACAGCTTGGTGACCTGGACTCTGTACAAAAAGCACTGCATGAAGCTCTTCATATGTATCTGGAACTAATAAACACACTAATTAGTGTATTTTCTTTTTGCGGTTTATTTTGTGACATTGTCAATACTTCACAGACTAAATAGTACTGAATGGTATGACAATTAATGAACAATGAATTCGAACAGACATGGAAGGAAATGATTATGGCTTAATTTTAGGTACTATCCCAGCAAAAATTCAGAGTTACATGATTTCTGAGAACCCAAATATCACATAACTCAAGACATATTTGTACCCACCCACGAGAACTGTGACCCTGAAACTGTATTTCACACTGCCATTTCACTGCCATGGCCTCCGTAGTCTAGGGGTAACATTCCCACCTCATGACTCAGGGTACACAAGTTCAAACCTGGTGGAGGTCATGGAATTTTTAAGGGCAAAAAATTCAGGGAACAAGTCCTCTGGGAGGGACTTTAAGCCGTGTGTCCTGTCGTAGATTTACGGCACATAAGAGATCCTCATGTCTCTAGGAGACCTCTGAGCAAAATTATGCAAGTTTCCCGACCAAGTAGTTTCCAATTCCTCCGATAGATGGGGAAGTATTGGGGACCACTACTGGAGAGGGCCGACCTCGCCGGCAGAATGGGGCTGATAACGAGCACCAGTACTGGAAGGGCATGGCGACTAGTTAGAATAATTAAAGGGGAACGCACAATAGATCAATAAATGGTCGCAGTGCATGGGGAAACCCACCCCCTCCAATAATAATAATAAAAAAAAATACTCTCATTTTACATGTCTGCATTTCTCATACTCTTACCTTGAAATGTGTAAGGCAGTTCTTTTCTGGCTTTCTCCATCACCTCCTTCCTTGCAAGAAGATCAGCTCTCCTTTGCTCTCCTGTCTTGCTTTTTGCATGATTCTTTTCTATGTTCTGTCTTGTTTCTGCCTCTGTATTTCCATCAACCATATCTAAGAATAAAAAGCATACAGCTAATACATCGAATTAACTAGACAGTGCCTCCATGAAGTGAAGTTACACATTGTGGTTCGGCTAGACTTCACGGGAGGAGCGCTTGAGTGCACACCTGCAAAACTTGAACTGTATTGAATAATAATGTCACATGTTTGGAATCCAGAAGAGTTACTACCATGGAAATGCTAGAACAGACCGTTGCATAAGAAGTAACAATAGCGGTATTGTAATCCTAACAGTGAGCCATTGCCCAAATGAACAGGACAGTAACTTTCATATAAAGGGGGAAAAAAAATCTGGTCATGAGCCCCAGTCGGGGCTCGACACCACGACAGACAGACTGACTGACCGTCAGTCGCAATGTGACTTTGACTTTGAGTTTGAGATGAGTTAGTATTGGGATAGCCGTCGCCGAAGACAGATGAGATCCAGCCACGGCGTAGGACAGTATAAGCATTGGAGTATTGGGTCAGAAGTCAAGTGACACTGCAAGTGGTGATAGCACTGCAAGTGTATAAGTGAGGCACAATAAAGATTCACTAAATCTGAGACCCACATGAAGTTATTTGTCGCGTGACATACCCAAACACGTGACAATAATATCTTGTGGGGTGTGACATCATGTGACATTTTGAAGGAACATACTGCCCCCATCATCAGGGCACAAGAATAAGCAAGTAAACAAGGTGACCTGCATCTTGCTGGTTACTTGCTTATCTTACTACTTGACCCTGAAGATGGAGGTAGTAAGTTGCTCCAAAACATTCATAAACTTTCACTGTACTATGCAGCATCACAGCCTAGAAGACGTCACTCTTCGTGGTAAACAATGTGAGAACCTCAAAACCAACAAACACCATATTAATGACTGTTCTGGTACCCTTGTGAGAGATAATGGGTTACAATAGAGTGTGTCCAGGTTCTGTTAGGACTGTGTTCATTAAAAACATAAGATGTGAATTATTTTCAAAATTTCACTCTTTTTATTCAAAATAGTCTCCTTTTGAATCAATACATAGCTGGAATTGGTTGAAAAGTTTTCGCAAACAGTCACTGTACTCCTTTTGTGGT